TTTGATCGGGTAAATTGCATTTCGTTTTCACCCATTTTAGGCTCTGAAGAAGGCGATCCCGCCGAAACGTAAGCCAATAAATCTTTTAACAATCTCGTGCGTGGCTAAGGAAATATATCAATAAGGAACACTGTTATCGCATATCTATAGTCAAATATTTGTAGTGTAGAAGTCAAAGCGTGAGAACATCTAGTGCAGAAACTATGTTTCTGTGACTCGACACTCGACATTAACTCATTGATAACCCATGAGCATCTTGGAATACGTAGGACCGTGTGACCCCTATCGCATTTCGCTCCATTTCGGACTTTCAATGATTTTCAATTTATTTGATGAATAGGTGACTTACCTTTCAACAACCAATACAAGCAGTGATCAAAGAAAGTCAGTGAGAAAGCGCGTTTTTCCCATGCACCGACACGTAAATAATGCGCGGTCATCTATGGATTAGTGACCTTATAGAAGTAATCAGAAATGCTCAACGCAATGTCCCGCAGTTGCCTGATGATTATAAGCTTGAACACTTGAAGGAAAAAATAACCAGTTCATGCGCTGGCTGCTTCAACCCATGCTGCCCAAGAATTGCGTAAGATGAAGCTCCTCTCCACTTAATCACACGAGTCGCTCCAAAAGAAGCCAAAGCGGCGCGAGCATCTGAAGAAACACGCTCTGCCACATCTCCGAATGATACGCCAATTATAACCGATGACAGCGGCAACGACCTAAAAACTTATATCGCACAATAGGGTCTATCTACGCTATTTCCAAAGTGAAAGCTTCATCATTTAAAAGAAGAGATACAAAAAAAGACCTTAGCCAACTGATCAGCTTCCCATCAGATTCAGCAACATCAAATGACATCGTCGATTCGATATCGCCTGTTGTTCCATTTAAAGAGACAAGGTTCACACCACTTTTAAGTTCGTGCCCGTCGAACAGGCTAAAAATAAGCTGTTATTCATTCATTTTTAATATTTTTACATTCATGTTTGCAAAAGAAAACAGTATCTGTTTGAAATAGAATCCCTACCGTACGTCATTAAGACAAGCAAATGGTGGAGAATTAGCTGTTTCTGCATGGATCCGGAATAGCATCTGTGGAGGGGAACATGATGGATCGTAGTAACATTGATCTAAAGTGTTTCGATGTAAGGTTAATGTAATGAATTTCTTGCGTGAGCACGGAATTAAGCCATCGGTGGATTCAAGATGGAAACTGAATCCAATGATCGTTAGCTACTAGTGCAAACTTTCCCTTGCAGTAACGAAAAAAAAAGAGCGCACAGATAAAGATGGAACATGATGCTTATGTGAAGATATCCCAATTTTGACCTATATTGTCGTATCTTATTACTTCGAAAGACATATTATATCACAAATTACAAGAAAACCAATAAAACTATCTGACATAAGACCTGATATCAAACCGTTCTGCGTTCTAGAACACTAATGACTGCAGCTGATCTTTAACGTATGACTCAAAACTTTCCTAAATGCTCTTTTCTGAACACTTGATTGTATCGATGAACAATATACAGTTTCAAAACCACAGTACTTTGGACCAGGAAAAACAAAAAGCAAGTCTTTCTTTTCTTGCTTCTGAGCGCGAACTGGATGCACGAATCCTTAGTTGAATGTTTACTGCGAGAATGTCTATAACACGAGATCACAACGCATCAGACAATATGAATACGGGCTTGTGCAGCGGTCCCCAGATAGAAATTAGTGCTAGAATCGTTTTATTTTAAATTCAAGGTAACTAAAGAGGCATTAGTCGTGAATTATTCGGCCAAAACCCTCAGCCCCTGCAAACAGTTTAAGGCTTCTGTATGATGAGATAACCAACAGATCATGCACAGAGAGAAAGAAAAGGATTATTAGTTCCGTTATCCTCGAAATTACATATTTCTCAATATTAGAGAAAGTGGTTCATCATGATGGCATAGCATGGGAATGGAAGGTAGACAAAGCTTGTTAATAACGTGAAATAATAAAGAATTAAAAAGTAGAAGAGAAAAGTCACGTCTGAAAAAAAACTAACCTTCGTGTGTTCCTAATCTTTCAATTTCTCTATGATCGTCTGATAGAGATAAGCGACGCGCAGCACCTGCAATATAAGGAAAACGGATGTATTTGACTGGAGCAAACTACGATTTTATCATTATAATTCAACGTATTATTCATACTGGTAAGAGGCAAGTTCGACGTCAAAAAATTCTCGTTCCATTAATTTCATAGTTAACAGCATTTCCAGTTCCCACTTTCCATAACTATGAAGAAACTTTGCAAATATCGTGCTTTGTTTAACAAGATTTGATAACTCAGGCCTCAGACTGCAATAAGATTGCAGATTACAAAGAGATGTAAAACTTGCTTTACAGGAGAAAAGGAATATATACTCAAAGGTAAGCTCAGGTACCGACCTGATGAACTCCCGCTCCTGCTTGAGAAGATGTACTTTCCAAGAAAAAAAAGCGATGAAACCAAAACAACAGCGAATACAGCTCGCCGGTTAGCTCGCATCACTATCAACAAATCAAGCTTCCATGATAGAAATCACTCGGCGTGCGCTCTAGAATATAGTTCGATATCTAATAAACGGACTATTTAACAAAGTTATTGAGTTGTAATAAGACTATTAGACATGTAGGTATGACAATCATAGTTAAGATAAACTGGTGGTAAAAATCTTTTTGTTCTATTGTTATCTTACATTACAAGCATCTTATGCGCCTCAGATTGTTGTTAAATGAGACATCTTGAGCATTTTTACATGGTGATTTTATGGATAGCTGGTTCCAGATTATCATCTTTCTTTTGCATTGCACAACGATATTCCATATGGCCGTAGATTATCAACTAAAACGTTACCGGAAAACGGACGGAGGGTATTTTCTGATCGTTTGCAGGTTTTTAGCACAAGTATTTAATGTTTCTTTTCGGAATGAAGTTCCCACTCCAGATCGTTTTTTATGAGCAGCCGCGTTCCTGTGTTCCTAGGTAAAAACTCAGTGGCAGAAGAGTGTAAGAAACTCATGTATGAATATGAATCACGTATTTAATTGTAAAGCCCCTCGCTTTGTTTCGGCCGGTGTTTTCTCGTAAACATGGGGTGGTACTATGCCGCAACCTTACAAAAGAAAGAAGTTGTAAGTTTTGTATTTTGCTGAAGTTTCATCTTAGAAGGTTATCTTGTATGCTGGTCTACCATTTTATTCATTGCGAACGATACGTAATGCCATCTGATGGAGATGTAGTATTTGCTCTTAACGATTTAACATCCTGAACCCAATCATACTCATTCTAACGATATGGTCAAACTACAGAATTCGGAGGTGCGTGCTATTACTTGCGACCGTTAGCAATAACTCGCCGCATGCGCTGCAGTTGCCATTGGTGTAGCGCGCGGGTGCAAGGGACTCGTCTCAGCATTGCAGACCTTGCTCAGGGATCCGGGGTTCAATCTGGAGATCGAGGTCCAAGGAAGTTATCATGAGGCTATGCTATTGCAATCCTTGAAGATATAATGGCGTTTTCCTTTAGGTAACTATCATAAAACTACGATAATCTAAACTGGTTATACTGAAAGAACGTCGGAGTTATGTCGCACTTTTATCGTTCATTGCCATTCAAATGGGGGAAACTAGATGTCTGTTTGCAGCAACGTTGTCGTGTTTTCCTCTTTTCTCTTCTGGTACAACAGCTTGTCTATAAAATCAAACCATTTCAAACTTTCCACTAGTGAACCGTTGGAATATGGATTCAGTTTCTACTGAATTCATATTTCAACGGTTCATACAAGTTTGGCGATTAATTACTTCAAAAGATCTGGGGTAGTAGTAATTTGACAATGAAACTGCGAGTTAACCGTCAGTTAACTGTGAGTCAATTCGCAGTTAACTCGCAATTCACTGCGAGTTTCAAGCTCGCAGTTAACATATAAGAAAACCAAAAATCCAGGGAATTTTGGTACAGGAGAATGCACCGATAAGATCTTCAAATGTTTACGGAAAGTGATTTCCAAAAATTGCGCAGCCCATGAAAATAATGGGTTTAACTCTGAGCGAACTCGAAGTCAACCCGCAGTTAACCTCCAAGTTAGCTCGCAATTAATAAATAAAATGAAACTGCGATTTATCTGCGAGTCTTAATGACAAGGCGA